GCCCGTCAAGCTGACTGCAATATCGTACCTTTTGTTAGGTAAGATAAAAATTGAAGTCAGTCTAAACAGTATTTGTTAAGTTATTGAAACTGAAAGTTGTAATAATTTGTTACAGACGCCAAATGCCAACCATAAAAATATGTCAAAATAAAACCTGGCTTACTTTTTGGAGTTTTTTATGATGCTAGCAGCAGTTTTCGAACCTGGTTTTCGTATCCACTATTTGTGTCTCCATAACAAGTTTTCACATAAAAAATGATAAAATATGCTTGATAATATATTTGCAATTTAGTTTTTCTGGAAACACCATTATAGAAATAAACTATAACCTTTGTATAAGACTATAAGCAAACAGAGGTAAAAATCGATGCAGAACTGTGCATCCTAAATGGGGAATATTGATATATTGACAAGTATCAGTACAAACCATGGGTTTTATGAAATAAAGAAAAGCAGTTTGGAATTATCCAAGGATTTAAACTGGCTCATGCACATGTATTGTTTGGATAATTCATGTTTACAGATTGTAAACTCTTTGACAGATTGTGTAGATAAACTAGAGAATTTACCAAACATTGATTTCTTAGAAATAGACTGATCCAGTAGACACGACGTCGACTAGAACCGCCATATTGTTTTTATATGGGAAGCTTTTCGTAACCCGATAAAATAAGGTAATCTTGATAGCCTTTTATCATTCTGTAAATAAATCTTTTGTTGAAGTTTACATTATTGTACACGCATGAAAAGGGAGGTAAATTTCGTTTGGGAGAGAAAGAATTCATCTTTTTAAAAAAGTCTTTTCATTTGCTTATATCAATATGTGTTCACCAAAATAAACCAGTTGGAGGTGCAAATCGACGTGTTTGCAAATCGATGTGTACATAATGTCAGACAATAAGACTTTTAATTTGAAGAAAGAAAATTTTAACCAATGAGTAAATATTTCTGTATGAATCATTGAAAATCATTTTGATTGGATCATTCACTTGTAAAGCTTTAGCAATTATTACATTACATGCACAGAAAATAATAAAAAGCAAATAATGCATCAAGTTTAATCTAGAAGTGGTTTTATGCCTGAAAGAAAAGGTTAGTTTATATCTTTTTTATTTATCATTATTTCTATTTAATAGTGCAGTCAGTTAGGTCAATAAAACCATAGAATTGCACATGCTATATATAAAGCACCATTTTTTGACCAAAGTATCTTTGGTACATATATTTTTCATATCTAACAAAGTTGTGTTGAAAAGTCCTCACAGTTGATGATAGCATGCCTCGAAAATCTTGCCCATTTACATTGAGCTCCATGTTAATTCATCAATCTTCAAAAGACCCCCTGCAGAACAGTTCTAAAGTAATAAAGCCCATATTCCTAGTATCTTACAATAATATGATTATCTTCAAAATAGGAAGGGTTGTTTTTTTTCTTTTGCCTAGTTCCAAAGATATTGGCATTTGAATTTTGGAAAATCCCCATTGGCTGCCATTATAAACTGCTATCAATATAGCTTTATTAAAGTGTACTTTTCTCAAAAAGTCCACTATGAAATTTTATAATATTGTAGATTTCTATAGTTAATATATTGACTTAAAATAAATCAAACAGGCACATTTCTAAAAATTTCTTATTTTTAATATATGTAGCTGTTAAGTTGTATAAAAAACCTATATTGAGCCCTATGTTAATTTATCAATCTTCAAAAGACCCCCTGCAGAACAGTTCTAAAGTAATAAAGCCCATATTCCTAGCATCTTACAATAACATGATTATCTTCAAAATAAGAAGGGTTGTTTTTTTTCTTTTGCCTAGTTCCAAAGATATTGGCGTTTGAATTTTGGAAAATCCCTATTGGCTGCCATTATAAACTGCTATCAATATGGCTTTATTAAAGTGTCCTTTTCTCAAAAAGTCTACTATGAAATTTTCTAATATTGTAGATTTCTATAGTTAGTATATTGACTTAAAATAAATCAAACAGGCACATTTCTAAAAACTTCTTATTTTTAATATATTTAGCCGTGAAGTTGTATAAAAAACCTATATTGAGCCCCATGTTGATTTTCAAAAATTGAAACGCCAATATCTTTGGAACTAGGCAAAAGAAAAATAACAACCCTTTTTATTTCGAAGGTAATCATGTGATTGTAAGATACTAGGAATATGGGGTTTATTACTCTAGAACTGTTCTGTTTTATAGATCGAAAAAGTTAACATGGGGCTCAATATAGTTTTTTGTACAACTTAACGACTAAATATATTAAAAATAAGAATTTTTTAGAAATGTGCCTGTTTGATTTCTTTTAAGTCAATATATCAACTATAGAAATCTACAATATTAGAAAATTTCATTGTAGATTTTTTGAGAAAAGAACACTTTAATAAAGCTATATTGATAGCGGTTTATAATGGCAGCCAATGGGGATTCTCCAAAATTCAAACTCCTATATATGGAACTAGTCAAAATAAAATAAAACAACCCTTCTTATTTTTGAAGATAATCATGTTATTGTAAGATACTTGGAATATGGGCCTAGACCTGTTCTGCAGGGGGTTTCATGAAGATTGTTAAATTAACTTAGGGCTCAATATAGGGTTTTTATACAACTTAACGGCTACATATATTAAAAATAAGAAATTTTTAGAAATGTGCCTGTTTGAATTTTTTTGAGTCAATATATTAACTATAGAAATCTACAATATTAGAAAATTTCATGGTGGACTTTTTGAGAAAAGTACACTTTAATAAAGCTATATTGATAGCAGTTTATAATGGCAGCCAATGGGGATTTTCCAAAATTCAAATGCCAATATCTTTGGAAGTAGGCAAAAGAAAAAAAACAACCCTTCTCATTTTGAAGATAATCATGTTATTGTAAGATGCTAGGAATATGGGCTTTATTACTTTAGAACTGTTCTGCAGGGGGACTTTTGAAGATTGATAAATTAACATAGGGCTCAATATAGGGTTTTTATACAACTTAACGGCTACATATATTAAAAATAAGAAATTTTTAGAAATGTGCCTGTTTGAATTTTTTTAAGTCAATATATTAACTACAGAAATCTACAATATTAGAAAATTTCATAGTGGACTTTTTGAGAAAAGGACACTTTAATAAAGCTATATTGATAGCAGTTTATAATGGCAGCCAATGGGGATTTTCCAAAATTCAAATGCCAATATCTTTGGAACTAGGCAAAAGAAAAAAAACAACCCTTCTTATTTTGAAGATAATCATGTTATTGTAAGATGCTAGGAATGTAGGCTTTATTACATTAGAACTGTTCTGCAGGGGGTCTTTTGAAGATTGATAAATTAATATGGGGCTCAATATAGGTTTTTTATACAACATCACGGCTAAATATATTAAAAGTAAGAAATTTTTAGAAATGTGCCTGTTTGAATTTTTTTAAGTCAATATATTAACTATAGAAATCTACAATATTAGAAAATTTCATAGTGGACTTATTGAGAAAAGGACACTTTAATAAAGCTATATTGATAGCAGTTTATAATGGCACCCAATGGGGATTTTCCAAAATTCAAATGCCAATATCTTTGGAACTAGGCAAAAGAAAAAAGACAACCCTTCTTATTTTGAAGATAATCATGTTATTGTAAGATGCTAGGAATGTGGGCTTTATTACATTAGAACTGTTCTGCAGGGGGTCTTTTGAAGATTGATAAATTAACATGGGGCTGAATATAGGTTTTTTATACAACTTCACGGCTAAATGTATTAAAAATAAGAAATTTTTAGAAATGTGCCTGTTTAATTTCTTTTAAGTCAATATATTAACTATAGAAATCTACAATACTAGAAAATTTCATAGTGGATTTTTCTAGAAATGGAGACTTTAATAAAGCTATATTGATAGCGGTTTATAATGGCAGCCAATGGGGATTTTCAAAAATTCAAACTCCTATATCTTTGGAACTAGGTAAAAGAAAAAAAACAACCCTTCTTATTTTGAAGATAATCAAGTTATTGTACCATACTAGGAATATTGGCTTTATTTCTCTTTAACTGTTCTGCAGGGGGTCTTATGAAGATTGCTAAATTAACATGGAGCTCTATGTAAAAGTGCAAAATTGTCGAGGCCTGCTATTATCAACTGGGGTCACTTTTTACCACCACTTCGTTAGATATCAAAAATATATGTATTAATGATACTTCTGTCAAAAAATGGTGCTTTATATATAGCATGTGCAATTAAAAACCTAACTGACTGCACTAATAGTAAACTTATCTAAAATAAAAAAAACAATATCATTAAATTGCAAGTAGGTAAGTGTAAAAGGATTGTTTTATGATTAATTTTTTAAATCAATCTTTTACGAGAAACAAGGCAACCACAAGGAGCGAATAATAAATGTCAACAAACAAATCACTCATCATTTTCATGATAGAAATAAGGCAGCAAAGGTTTCTACTTTTGGCAAAAAACACCTCCAAGTAAGACATATAACTCAAACTGGGCATGTTATATTCATTGTGTTAGCTCTTTAGAAAAATTGCAGACATTTTGATTTCAGCTGACATTTTGAATAAACAATAAACATGTATTTAACCCAAAAATGTCCAATATAAAGCTGTAAAGCATCATTATTTTAAAATGAAATGACCCAAGTTAGTAGTTATTTTGAGACCCCAAAATAAATTAATGCTGATTCTCACATTTGAATTTTGACACATTAAGATTTTCTGCACCATCCATCAGAACAAGGATATTTGCAATTTACTCATAAATTTACATAAAATACCAAAGATTTGAGTATAGCTTAACTTTGACAAGATCTCAATTACTTCACTTCATTTTATTTTTTATCTTATGTTTATCAATTATTTCTTATTAACTAATTGAAGTAGTGCAGCTGTCTATAGGACAGCAACTGAGAGACATACATGTACATGTAGATGTATATTCACAAACATCTTCCTGTTTTTTTAATCTGAATTTCTCAAAAGAGTGACCAAAATATAATTCTTACTTCTATGAAAGACAATAAGCCTGAGAAGGAGACATCCATTCCTTTGACAACATATGGTAGTTCTAGGTACTTCTCGCCTTCCTTTGCTAGCTGTTCTATGTTGAAGCCAGGGCTAGGGTCATTAGACAGTTTCAGAACTCTTGCAAACCTTGGTAAAAAAAAAATATACGAATGTATCTGATAGGTCCATTAGTTGATAATTCAGGGATTAATTATGACATTCAGATTTGGAAATGTTTTTAGAATATTACTTCGTACTCTAATGCTTTTGCTTGATGCTACAAATATAAAATAGGTGAAACAGAGCTCCTTTAACTCTAGGCAGCAGTATATAGAGAACCAAATCCATATACTGCAAGTCATTTGAGTTATCAAGGATTACATTTTTCACAAAAAAATCGTGGCCATTTTGAAATTCAGCTAAATGGTGGCCACTTTGAAAGGATTGGTATCGATATGGAGAACTGAATTCAACAATGTTTTTCTCTTAAACCAATCATTGAAAACATTCTGTAAAAAACAAGGTATTTTATGTAATGTCTGACAACAATTTAATGCAAAATTTATTTATAAATATTTTATATAACTGTTTTTGTTAACTTTTTTTGTTTTTTTAGTGCAATTGTTTTTGCTCCTTTCTACCAATTCTTGAGAATGAAATAAAATGTCTTTCCGAACCTTGTTGGAACAAAATAGCATATACAACATGTTTTTAGACCTCCCTGCAATATCATAGTTATACAAAGGAATTTTTGGTTGATTTTAAAAAAGTATTCAAAAAATTAAAACAAAATCCCCCCAAAATAGATAAAAATCAAGAAAAACCTTTTATTTCATTAACAAGATACTTTTTTAAAATCAACCAAAATTTCTTTTGTACAATTACAATATTGAGAGACCTAAACATGTTGTGTTTATGTCGTTTTGTTCCAATGAGGTTTGGAAAGATGTTTCATTTCACTCTGGAAACATGATACCAAGAACAAAACAAGTGTTTGATGTGTTTTCTAAAGCAATATAGATGAAAGTATATATATATTTTTCAAATTATATTGTTACTTTTTAGATTTTTTTATGACTGGTTTAAGAGAAACGTGTGTTCAAAAAGTTCTCCATATCGATACCACTCCTTTAGTAGCCATCTTGAATACTGGGTGTCAAGAATTTTGGGAATATATTTTTAAAAAAACCCTTCAATTTCTCAGTCCATATGAAGTTGCTTGAAATATTACTATGTGTAAGAATCTGTCCCTAGAGAGTTAAAGATATTTGTTGTATTCAATCACATAATTTCGAATGTGAACGTTTCTTACCTCCTCCATTGAAGAGTCAGTAAAAATATTTGAGCTTTTCCCATCATATTATAACAGTGGCGCATCGTTCATATTTTCACGAGGTCAAATTAAATTTTATATATTAGTTTAAAAGAGTACCGTCTTTTGATTTTATCAATTTTGATTCCATTTGGATTTGTATAGTTATAAATCTAAAGCCGACTAAATAAGTAGGGCCATAAGAAGTAGATTCTTTGTTTTGTGTCCTACAAAAAGCTAAAGCATGCAAGGGTTCAAGGAAAATAAACACAAACGGTAACTCAAGAAAAAGCACAAACTTGCAAGATAACAGCAATGCCGAGGTGTAGCAAATCCCATCGAACTTTTGAGCACAAAATTTTTTTGCAATCTGTTTTATTTCATTATATAATAGACAAGTACAAATAGTTGCTGATAAGAGTGACCAATCGCTATGAAAGGATAGCATTATAGGTTCACTTTAAATATAAAAAGAACATGTGAACTATGTGTAAAAAAATATTTTTCTGACAAAGGGGTTTGCTGTTATTTGCTGGGTAATGGTGCTGGGGCAAGGTGATCTGTTGGAACATAAGGAGGAGGCCATCTTGAGCCTTAAAAGGAATTGTCTGATAAAAAATTTGTAACTAGTTTGAAAATCATTATGTTCTGTTCAGTTGAAAGATCAGGATGACCAAATAAAAGTGTTCTGATTAGACCATTTTTGTCCATTTGAATGTAACCTAATGGTAAAGATTAAAAGGTGGATTGGATCAAGTGAATTGGATTCATGTAAAAGGTAGATTGGATCGGGAATCTTTGAAACATGGATTTTCCTTAGAAAATTCTATTGATCTCCCTCTAAGATTGGTGCTCTCCTCACGTCGACAATGTCAAATAATAGATGTAATATTACTTTGCTTGGGTTGGCTAGAAGGGTGAACTGGCACCCGCTTTCTTATTCATTCCAAGTGTAATTTGAGACATTTATGAATCATAAGGCAGACTGGTTTGAAGATCCATATCATCTGTTTTCAGTCCAAACAAACCAGGGGAAATGTTTATTATGTCTTTCAAAAGTTGATTTACAATGGAAAGCAGTTAAATACTTAAAGAGTATCTATCAACTAATTGGATTATATATTTGTTGTTGCTTTGTTCTGATTCCTCAAAGGGACCCAAGTGATCACAAAATACTGAGGGAAATTGCTTAGAGGGAGATCTACAGAAAAAACTTAAAGAAATTCCATATTTTGAAGATTTCGGATCCAATCCACCCTTTACATGAATCCAATCCACTTGATCCAATCCACCTTTTAATCTCTACCTACCTAATAGGTTTTACATGAATTTGACTGGGTCTTGTATGCATTGTAATTTTGGTCAGTGTTCCGATGTTGAAATCTTTTATAAAGTTTAGCTTTCTTGCCTAATTCATGGGAAAGTTTGCTATTAAACCAGGGTCTGTCATTTTCCTTAATGCATTTCAACTTGTTGGGAATATGTTTCCTAAAAAATTCTGAGCAAAAAGCTGGTAAAGTCTTTTGTAAGAGAGTCTAGATTTTGATAGTTATTAAAGCACAAAATTGTTCCACTACTTTTCAAGTAAAAAAACAGTAAAATAACACACTTTAAAAAGAGGCCACTTTTCAAAATGGCCACCTAGCCAATGCACCATGCTTATGAGTATTAACATATCAAAATAATTTAATGTGAAAAAATCGGTCCACTACTTTTCGAGTTAAAAACGCAAAATAACACATATTAAGTGAGAAGCCATTTTTCAAAATGGCCACCTACTTGCCAAAGTGTCATAAGATAGTGTGCCATGCTTATGAGTATTCACATATTAAATATGAAAACAAGAACACAAATGTGTACAAAATGTCCCCACCAATGGGTGATCCCGTCAAGTGGTTATCCTGAAAATGAGTAGACAAGACTTTACCAAGACAATTTGAGGACGGAAAATCCAAAATGGCCACCTTAAAATTTACCCAGAATGCCAAAAATTTAGTCAGTTCTAGATTTCCATACTAAGATCCACCCCTGAAAATTTGAAATTGATCTGTCACACAGTTAACCAGAAAACATGTAAACAAGACTTTACAGACAAGATTTCAGGATGGAAAATCCAAAATGGCTGCCTTGACATTTACCCAGAATGTCAAAAAACTAATCTGTTTCTAGATTTTCATACTAAGAATCATCCCTGAAAATATGAAATTGATCTACCAAACGGTTCACCTGAAAACGGGTAGACAAGACTTTACAGACAAGATTTTAGGACAGAAAATCCAAAATGGCTGCCTTAACATTTACCCAGAATGCAAAAAAACTAATCAGATGTAGATTTTCATACTAAGAATCATCCCTGAAAATTTGGAATTGATCTACCAAAGGGTTCACCTTAAAACGCGTAGACAAGACTTTACAGGCAAGATTTTAAGACGGAAAATCCAAAATGGCTGCCTTGACATTTATCCAGAATGCCAAAAAACTAATCAGATCTAGATTTTCATACTAAGAATCATCCCTGAAAATTTGAAATTGATATACTAAACAGTTCACTTGGAAATGCGTAGACAAGACTTTACAGAAAAGATTTTAGGACGGAAAATCCAAAATGGCTGCCTTGACATTTACCCAGAATGCCAAAAAACTAATCAGATCTAGATTTTCATACTAAGAATCATCCCTGAAAATTTTAAATTGATCTACCAAGCGGTTCAACTGAAAACGCGTAGACAAGACGTTACAGACAAGACGTTACAGACAAGATTTTAGGACGGAAAAATCCAAATGGCCGACAATAAAAAAGTGATTATGAGTTTTTGCTGATTTCTTTTTACAAAACTATCACATATAACTATAATTATCACATTAACAATAACAGGCTTTTACAACAAAGTACACCTGAAATTATTCATAAAGCTACTAGTGCAGTCAGTTATGACAATAAAACCCTTGAATTGCACTTGCTATATATAAAGCACAATTTTTTGACCATTATAAACGGCTATCAATATGGGTTTGCTAAATTGTATTGTATTGTATCCTTTATTACCACAAGTGTATATTGTGAGTACATTTACAATTTTTGTTTTGCATTAACAATAAAATCACATTTGCATAAGCATGTTACGCTTTGCATACATTAGAAATACAGCTTTGGCTTTTAAAATCATTGCTTCATCATTGTCTGATTTGAAAGTTTGAAATATAATGTCATCATTACCAATTCTAAATAAATTGAGAAGTGCAACTCTTTCCGCATCTATGGAATTGCAGAAACGTAAAAAGTGATCCAATGTTTCTATTTCGCCAGTATCACATATATTACATTTTCTGTCACCCCATTTTTTATTTCCATTGAGTGTTTGGTTCATAAGCAAATTGACCATTAATTTACAATATTTTAAATCACTAGGGTATTTGAAACTGAGTGCCCACCATTTAAGTGGCTGAGCAGAGCATTTTACACTTACATACAAATGTGTTGCACTTTTTATAGCACATTTAATCATAAACGTTGCATTTTGGCTTTGACGTAGCCTACCTAAAACTAATTTACGCCATATTCCCTTTGATGGGTAGACACCTGTGTTTATCATATAAGTTGCAGCATCTAAAAGATTAAATCTGCTTAAAACATTCCATATTGTATCAAGTGGTGACGCAGCACCACCGTGACCATTATATTGGAATTCCGTAGCTCGATAAAGAAAGACCTGCTTGTAAATATTTTTTACTGGTAGTGTTATCAACATAAGGAAGAACATTAATTTATCTAAGGCGATTTTATACTCGATGTCCATCCAGCCCAGTGGATCAGTTGAAAATACATTATCAGCAA